ACAGGAAATGCGACCATGCAGAGGCAGGAGCACGAGCTCCAGCTGATGAGACGTCTCCACAGGCTTTGGGTGACCGAGTCGACCCATACGAAGCATGTCGATTTCCTCTCCATCAAGAAGAAGGTTACCACTGGGAAAACCGTGCACTTTAAGGCTCTACCGAACCTTTACACATTCGCACTCAAGCATGCCGGAGGGCGGACTCCGTTTCTCATGGATGAGACGGAGGCCTTTGTCAGAAGGCACTCCCCAAGCACCCGCAGTTTGGGCGCCGAGTTTTGGGAGAAGATCAGCATGGAGGTCAAGGGTACCAACCAGTTCTCGAGGGCACGACATGCACTTGCCACTTGATCGTCATGCATAGCATGTTGTTGCACGAATGTATATATACACAACATGTTCACATGATTCTTTAGTTTGTAAAATAGACATACTCAGGTGAAGCTCGCATATGCCAAGGAAGTGGCACAGGCAGGCGATGCTAAGAGGATGATGCACAAGGACATGTTGACCGAGGTCCGTGCCGCAGACCTCATCATGTATCAATGGCGACAACTCGTTGAAGGGCTATCCAAGGGGAAAGACCTGCTTGCCTCGCCGGAATTGATCACTGCACTCAACTTCGCTGACATGCACTTGATCGGCTTCCTCTTGAAGCTGCCCGTGGACGTGAAGCAGTACTCTTCGAAGGAGGCTTTGGCCCACGATGCCGTCGTTATCATGCGAGGGATTTGCGGGCAGCACGTGGACTCGCCATGGGAAGCTCATGCCCTGCAACAGAAGGTCGCCGAGGACACTTCCAGCCCCAAGGTCGTTGCGATGAGGGAGCTGAACCCAGATGGGACGGTTAAGCAACCCTTGACACTCCTCGAGGATGCAGGCTTCAAGGTTGGATCATGGTGCAGAAGGAAGAGCGATGGGCAGTCCGGCCAGATCGTAGTATGCCAAGGAGGCAAAGTGCAATTGAAGCAGGCCGACGGCAACCTGGGCAAGGTCGTGCTGGACGTGTTTCTCGGCGGTGATTGGGCAGTCTTCACACCGAAGCCCGAACCAGTGCTGATCCCAGATGTCCTGCAGTATGCCCCCAGCAAGCATCCGGATTTCCAGAAGCAGCAAATGCAGGCCACCATGATGCTTGATATCTTCGATCTGCAGGCTAAGCATGAAGCTAACAGCATGCTTGCACGGCTACACATGCACTTGAAGCCCCAGAAGAAGATTGTGGCAATTGGGAAAATTCCCAAGATGAGACTCACTCTGGTCCCATGCAGCTTGCAGTTGAAGCATGGGGCCAAGGTGCCCGACGACTGCTTTGAAGTCTTCCCAGCTGTGGGTGATGTGCATTTCTGGTCGGCTCCGATGCTCGTGCTTCCGAAAGCCGAGGGCGATGCTGGCTTTGCGAACTTAGCCTTCATGATTCAGAGCACTCATGAGGAGGACCTCGCCAACATGGAAGTCTGCTACGTCAGAAGCCAACGAATGAAAGAGATCCAGCTACCCCTGCTCAAGAATGTTCGTGAAGTCGCTGAAGGCGAGAGCCTTTGCATTTACAAGGAGAAGACTGAAGTTCCGCCTATGCCACTCGATCAAGACTCTCCGAAGCCGAACAAGAGAATGCGCACGAAGGCTCCGGCAGACCCATGAGAGGCACAGCATATCACATGCACCATCATGCACATGCCACGATGGTTTTTGGGGAAGCATTGGCACACGCATGCATGTATGCTTGCTTGGGCCACACACCGATCTTCATGACACCGCGAGGATGGCAGCATTTCAGCAGCTGTGCAAAAAATGCCATACGTGATCGCTGTTGTGGTGTGCTGTCATTGGCAAAGCCGCATTCACTTGAGGTGCTTGCATGTGCATGAGCGAATCCTTGCATGACATGTTACAGCTTGTATGTGTAGTTGAGCTCTTGTGTGCACACACCTCCCGTCGACATGGCTGATGATTCTGATCATGAAGATGACCGTGACGTTCGACTATGCACAAAGACCGTGGCCATGTATGGGAAGGGCGAGCAGTGGATCCCGACTCAGAAGAACGAAGAGGGCATGGTGTGGTTTTCGGTGAACGGCAGGTGGGACAGAGGCTTCACGAAATTTGTGTTCGGCAAGGCCTAGATCTCCGGAAGGACAAGGATAGCCGATCGTTAAACAGCAAATTCTTCGATGACTTGATGACCCAGAGACAGACGACATTCAACGAAGTCATTCAAAAACGCCTGCAAAGCGAAGACGACACCCAAGAGGACACCCCGCCCCAAAACAAGAAGGTCTTGAAGTGTTTCAAAGCCACAGCTGCCAAACATCAACAATATGCCCCGTATTACATCGACATGCAGTTGCCTGCCATCGAGGAAGGTGGCCCGACTCCCACAGCAAAGGTTCTCTTCGAAGGGCTTGGCAGTCATACTTTGTGGTTTGAACTTACAGAGGCGAACTTGCAACACTTGAAAGCTGGCTTTGTGAACTCGGAGAGCAAGGACCGGCAGCCCCGAGGAGCCAAGAGAAAGAAAGAGATAGGCGGCTAGCTTTTTCGCCGGCAGGGCAATGCTCGTCGGCAGAGAACATATAAGCACGAACATGATGCAATCCCGACTCGTAGCTCATGTGCATGCTGGAAATCAAGAAAAGTGCTGCCGTCTTTTCTATGTTTTTTCTATTCATAGGAAGAAAAGTCTTTATATCACCAGCTCCACGTCAGCAGTTGGGTTTATAAGGGGGTTGTGCTTGGTTTTGCGATTCGCAACTGTCCTGCAAGCTTGACTGATGGCTGTTGATCATGTCAGGATACAATGTCTTGTGCAATGCATGGTGCAGGCTCCGAGCTGGTTTTGTAGGCATGGCTTCGCCTGTTTTCCGAGGGCATGGTGTGCTGTGTGTATACATATACAGACACGTGCCACATGTGATAGATGATGCTCGCATGCCATCACAGCAATGCACCAGGCAATGCACACAGCAGTGCACTATATGCAATGCACACATGTCATGCAGACCCTGCTGGCAGCTTCATAGGGGGTCGCCATGATGCGGTTCTCCATCGGAGATGTGATCGAGGATCGACCGGCCTTGTTCGTTCGCTTGGACCTTATAAATGATTTTTGTTGCAGGAGTTTGTGGGCTGGAGCTCCTTCATGTAGGTCGAGCTGCTAGGGGGCATGGAGGAGACGGAGGAGGCTTGTTGTATTTCACTTTGCTGAGTGCCGGTATAAGGGAGTTGTACTTGTACAATTGCAGGGAATGTGGACCAGCCAGTCCGGGGAGCTTCGCTGGACCAAGGGCAAGGGGTGGAGGATCCTGATCAAGGACGGAGGTCGGGCTTTCCGTCTGGGAATTCATTGTGTTGTTTTTTAGAACAATATCCCTTGCAGGCATGTGCCTCTTCCGGCACCCGGACAAAAGTGCCGAGAAGCCACCCCCGGAAGGTCATTTGCTCGGAGTTTCGTATATGAACATATATATATATATATATATATCGGTATCTGCAGGCTGCGAAGCCCTCGACTTCGACAACACGTGGATCCCCAGCACACTGCGCTTGGAGGACACCTCTTGGAACACCAAGCTTATATATAAGGCATGCATGCATGTTGCCAGGGGGATTTCGATGTAGAGCCGCCGGAGGTGCCGAATCCATCGCTTATAACGAAGTACTCAATTCAGCCCTGCATGCAGGCACGGGAGCCGATCAACTTGGTGCCTGCTGCAGAGGCACCAACTCGAAAACCGCGAAGTGTCGAGCCCTGTTTTTGCATGCAGATTGGCAGGCATCAGACAGCTCAGGCTTCGAGGAGCCGGTATGTATACTCGCTTATATATTGAACCTTTCTTATATGTGTTCTGGCAGGAGGTCGAAGTGGAGATGGAGATGGGCCCCGTGGTTCTGAAGCCGAAGGCTTCCATCCCGCCTTGGTAGATCCCTGCATGCGAGCTTGTCGCCCTGCACACGAGAGTGTCATGTCTCTGTGTGTGTGTATCTGAGTATATAATCCAAACCCAAGCCCCGGTACCCTAACTATATATAACACAATTATATATAGTTCTGGGTGCAGGAGAAGAAAATGCCCACGGTGCCCAAGAGGAAGTGGCTGCTTCCGGAGGAGAATGTTCTGTTTCTTTGTTTAACCCACTCCTCCTTTGCCGTTTGCAGGAGGGCAGTGCCAACAAAAAGGCACGAAAGGGAGCCGGTGCCCAAGATCGCAAGCATCTTCATTTTGGATACCATTTCTAGTGTTCACCCGACAGGGTTGGAAGACCACAAAGATGCCGAAGGCAAGGGTCCGTGGGTTTATAAGGGTTTAGGGTTTACAAGGGTTATAGGGGTTTATAGGGTTTAGAGCTATAGGGTTTAGGGCGATAGATTCTTGGATACAATGTGATATGCATGTGCTGTCGCAGGTGGACGAAAGAAAGCCCCAAAGAGCCAGACAATCCGCCGAAGGGCAGCAAGGAGATGCGGTCATGCATGGAGTGCAGTGGTTTGTAAGCACGAATGCAACATGTGGTGAGGAGCACAGGGCATCCGGATCGGGGGGGGCCTCTTCCAAGGCCTGATTCGCTGATGCATGATGTCGTGGGTGCACTGATAACATGGCACACAAACACAGAGAGACACACACAAGCACACAGACACACACACACACACACACACACACACACAAAAAAAAAAAGAAACAGACACAGAGGCACACACACACACACCGAGACACACACACACACACACAACACACACACACACACCACACACACACACACACAGACACACGACACACGACACACCACACACAGACACACAGACACACGACACACGACACACGACACACGTCACACGACACACGACACACGACACACGACACACGACACACGACACACACACACACACACACACACACACACACACACACACACACACACACACACACACACACACACACACACACACACACACAGAGTGAAGCCTTGAGGGGTGGGGATCTGGGGACTGGGCCTGAGGAAGTGGACTTGCTGCTTCACCCCCTGATGTCGGAGCTGCCTCTCGGAACAAAAAGCCGAGCTCGGCCCTGGGAACCTTTCGCAGCTTCAGTTCTCCAGTCCAAGGAACTTTCCTGTGGGCGCTCGCGAGCCCTTGGATCTTTCTCCTGAGCGCTGGGAGCTGCCAATGTGGCTCGGAGACCTGTTTTGGAAGAAGCTCCCTAAATGCGCGAGAGCGGTGCATCCTCAATCCTTGAGGCATCTTCTTCAGCCCTTCCTGTGCGTGGACACGGATGTGGTAGCCAAAGCCCCGCTTGGCAGAAGTGCTGCGAGGTGGGGTCCCAAAGAGTCCGGCAGCTTCATCTCCGTTCGGTGGATTCTTTTGCCTCCGCCTTCTTTGCTCGTGGCAGGGGCCCCCGCAGTCTAGTATGCTCCCACTTAATTACATAAATGGACCCTCTTACCGCAATGACGCATGATCACAGAAGCCCCTGACTTTCCGCAAACCGGGACCTCGAAGGAGATCAAGAAGGGCCTCAAGCAGCTGGCACTGCGCGAGCACCCCCATGTGGTCCTGGTGGGGGACCTCGGGGGATCCCTTAAAGGAACCCTAAACCCTAAAACCTACAGATCCCTTGTAGAACCCTGTAAGGAACCCCCAAAGTTTCGGGGTCCCCTTTTCTCTACAGTCCTGGACTATGGATGCCTACGGCACACCCGGCCAGGACCTGATTTGGGTGGACGATGCTAGCCCGAATGATGGCACACTCGGGCAATGCGCTTCTTTCCGCATCCTGCGGCGCTCATCCGTGTAAGTCGAGTCACACCAAATGCTTTTAGGAAAAGGAACAGCTTGAGGAACGGAAGCGTTGCACCGCTACGTCATGCCAGTGGATGCCCTTGCAGTCTTACCCATCCTTGCCACGATGAGTTGCCACGTGGCCACTCTTTGCTGGGAAGCCGGCCCCAAGCCCTTCAATGCATGGATCCGCAGCGTTGGCCCAAGACCGGGCCGGGCAAGAACTTTTTCCAACTCCCACAAGGCGATGAAGGCTTCCGCCCACGAGGCTCAGCGAGTCGGAGGCCTTCTAAAGGCCAAGTTTTTCTTTGTTGGCCACCCTGCCAGGTTCAGGAGGAAAGCGAGGAGGAAAGCGCTGATGCGAACACACGCGAGCAGACTTTCGTGCCGGCGCTTTTCACACTTGGCTCCGCTAAATGGTGTGACTCCCCGTGCTGTAACTACACACACTGTCGCGCCAGTTCACGAAGCTGCTCGAGTCGGCGAGGACGGCGCCACAGAGGTGTTCCGAGCATTTGAAGACAACCCATTCTTCGGAGAGGTCGGGAGATCTGCTTGTCGTGAGTTTGTTGTTTTGGTCGACAGTGTTTTCGGTAAGTACTTGAGCTTGCATTGCTTCGCCTTGCGCCGCACTGCTAGCTCAAGCTGTCGACCCGGATCGCTTCCGATTTTAGCTTTTTCATGCATTGCATTTGCTTAGCTCTACATGCAGCTTTTCATGCAGCTTCTTACACAGCTTGAGTTTGCATGCATCTCACTTTTGCTTTCTTTCGAGCTAGGCTTCTTTTGCTCCGCTCTGCTCCGCGCCATGGGCCGCCGAGGGCAGATCAAACGGCCGCGCACCGAGCCTGCAGTCGCTTCTGCCAGCACCGCTGTGCACTCGCCCACACATGCTCAGCTTGTTGTGGCTCGCTGGGCCCTGTGGCGCCGTTCCCCAGGGTCTTTCGCCATGCCCAGCACTGCTTCATGGATTGCATGCCTTGAGTCGGCATGCTCGGCAGGTTTCTTGCTCAGCTTCCTCTGCTTCTTTGACTGCCAGTGCCTTGCTCAGCTTTGCGTCGCTTCGCACCGGCATCTTTGCACTTCTTGGGATGTGTCTCCTTCTTGCAGACGCATTCTGCTCAGCGTGGCCTTCCGCAATCGCACCCAGCCCGAAGACTTTTGTTGGCGCTATCAGCAAGCTAGGCCCTGCCCCATCAGCAATACTCCGCCTCGCTTGATTCTCGTCAGGCGCCGCCTGGCACTCTGGTCTTCATCGCCCCGCGTTTTCTTTCAGGCGGATTCGACTCTGAGCGTTTGCTGGTTTCAACTCAGAGTCGCGGGTCACTTCTTTAGTTGCTTCTGCACGGCTTCTTTCCGCAGCTTATCTTTAGCAAGCAGAGAAGCACGCACTGCTCTTAGCCAGCTTTACCATTTCACCCCAGCCGAGATTGCAACCTTAGCTTAAGTCCCGCCCCGCCCCTGTTGTCATGTCTTCAGGGTCCGAATGGCTCCGCTACTCCGCTCAGGAACTGCTCCGCAACGCACCGGCTCCTGTGTGGCGCGCCGATGACAGCCCGCCCAGCACTGCATCAGTTTGGTCCAGCACGCCCAGCAGTCTCCGCAGCAGCGTGGTGGCCGCGGCATGTGCCAGAGCCGAAGCTTCCGCCTCGCGCCGAGCTGAAGCTTGGCTTGCCTCGCAACGCACCGCCCATGCCGCAGCATCTCCTGCATCGCACAGCTCCAGTTTTGTGGATCTCGCCTTGGAGGAGGACACACTACTGGATCGCCGCATTCTGCACCGCATCTGCTCTGCATCGCTGCCGGAAGAGATCCGGGCACTGCACTGCTGCTCCCAGGCACTTTGGGAGCAGTGGTCGGAGATACGGCAACGCGAGCATCTCTTTTTGTTCTGCGATTTTTCCGGCAACGCACCGCCCTGCGCTGCCCTGTGGTACCGCAGGCCTCTGCTTCAGCTCGGCATTTCTTCTGTGCCCATTTATTCTTTGCGCGAGGCACAGCCCAGCAACGCTGACGTCATGGTAGATTTTCTACCAGGTGGTTTTTTCCACCCCTATGCAATCGCACCGCGCCGCAACTGCTGTGCCGCAAGCCCTGTTTCACGCACAGCACATTAGCACAGCACCGTTTTTTGTGGCTTTACATTGCACCGCAAAAGCATTTTTGCCAGCATTCTTTGTTGCATGTCGGTTTTTCAGCCTTTTGTTCAGCCTTGCCTTAGTGTTCTTCACGTCTGCCAGGCACTTCTTCTTCGACTTCGACATCTACTTTGGCTCGCGGGCCTGCTGCTTTTCGGTTGGGGCCGCCCCGCCTCAGTCTTACAAACCCTCGCTTGGGTCGCGGCTGCTCCGCTATGTCCTGCCTCAGGTCAACCAATCTTTGGGCGACATCCCTTTTTTCGGCACCGCTGGCTGCTTTCAGGAGCCGCCTGCCCTGCTCTCGTTTCTGGCTGCGCTTAGCTCGCCTGGACTCAGGTCCTTCTTCGTCTTCTGCTTCGCGATCGCTTCGCCTAGCACTGTGTTCGGCAAGCTGCCCTGGCTGCTCCTGCCTCCTTTGCTTTGCCGTTTTTTCTGCTCAGGTCTGCACCTCTTCTTCTTTGCGCCCCGACGGTCTTGGCCTCAGCTCTTTGCACGCCTTGCTCTGCCTCGCTCTTTTTCAGCATTGGCTTGCCACCTTGTTGGCTTCCCTCCGCGCTTCGGCTCAGCGGGCTACGCAAGGCTCGTCGCACAGCTTCTCGGCCAAGGACTCATCTCGTCTTTCAGCCCCGCTAGTGGCCCAGCCTCCTAAGGCACAACACTACAGACAGCTCTGCTTCACCTCAGCTCAGCATACTTAAGCTCACATCCGATCATTTCGAGACTGTCTTTTTCACTCTTCTTGCCCTGCACCGCTCCTGCATCATGTCCGGCCTGGGCGCTGCCTGGGTCGCACTCGCCTCTGCGACCAATGAGGAATTGGTCGAATCTGCACAGCGCCTTGGGCCCCTGCAAAGCCTCAGGCTCAGCGCCTGCCTCACGCACGGCGCCTATCTGGCCGAGATCGAGACGCACTGCAAGGGCAACAAGACGCCCCGTGAGCCCCTGCAACCTATTCCGGAACCCCCGGCCAGCTCTGCACCTTCCGACCCCCCCGCACAGCCAACGCCTGTTTCCGCACCGGCACCGCAGGTTCCTCCTGCGGCCACTGCCACACCTGAGCCTGCCGTTGCTCAGCCCTCCCCCGCACCCGCCGCCTTTCATGATCCCCGCGGCACATACCCGCCTATCCCAGCACCGCCACCGCAGGCCAAGAGCTCAGTGCCTGTGAAAGCAATGCCTGCATACCCGCCTGGTGCATTCTACCTGACACCAGTGGGAGACCAGTTTCTCGCAGCCCCGCACCCTGCACCATGCGCCGGCCCCGCTACCCAGTCTTGGGCCGATATGTCGGATCCTGCACAGCAACCACCGCTTGACTTCGTCAACCCCGCACCGCCACCAGCGCCAGTGTGGCCCAAGCAATTCACGCAGCAAGAAAAACGCTGCGCCGATCCCACACCGGCTCCCCCCGCCCCGCACCCTCAGCCCCGCCCCAGCACTGCCAAAGAACGGCGAGAGAGCCGCCCCCCGCCCCGCAACGAAGACTTTATCGCTGCTAGCGATGTTCCTGCAGAAGACGATTTGACCCAAGCACCGCAGATCGGCACCTGGAGCCAAGCTTCGCACCGCACACCAGCAGACGTACGCTGGACCCGCCAGGCCCGACCGTGGTATCGTGATCGCCACGGTCGGGCCTGCTGCGCAATTCAATGCGACTCCACGCACAGCTCCGGAGATTGCTTGCCTTGTGGCAAACCGTTCCGCCTTGCACAGCCTCTGGCAACAGAGATGCATAATAAGCACCGCTGCTCGATTTGCAAGAGCAAGGAGGAGAGGGAAGAGCAGTGAGCTCCCCTCCCGCACCCGCACAGCACCGCACTGCAAAAAAGTACGGCCGCAGCCCGCCTCGCCTTCTTCCTGCAGTTTTGCCGCCTTCTTTGAGTTTTTCCATTGCTCTCTGCGCTTGCTCAGGTCCATCTTCAAGCTGTTCCAGGCACGTTCTTGCAGCGCTCTGCTCAGCACAGTTTTTTGGACGCTCGCTACGCTCCCGCTTGTTCTGGCTTTTCAGGATTGGCCTCGGCTTCCAGTGCCCCGCCTTGCTGCACTTGCACGCCGCTTCTTTCAGCCGCTTCTCTTTCGTGCCTTTTCTGCTTAGCCTGCGTTCAGGTTGCATCAGCCGGCTCTTGCTCAAGGCAGGTCCCGCTCGTATCTTGCTCGGGGCCTCTGTGTCCCTTGCCTTGCCCCAGTTCCGCTTGCACCATATGCGTCAGCGATGGAAACGAAAATTCGGCTCCTTGGAGGACCCTGCACCTTGCACTGCACCACCGCCCTCGGCAACGCAGTCTCAGCCAAGCTTGGCAATAACTCCACACGCCTCGGGGTCAGACGATGAACCGTCGCACCTGCCTGTGTTCTTAGGTTTCTTTGAAGTTGGCGACTCAGCCTCAGAAGACGACTTTAGCTCGCCAGGCACACCGGCATCGCAATCAGTTCTGCCCTTTTGTCTCGCTAGGACCCAGCCCTCTGCCCGAACCTACTTTGCCGGATACCCCTGCCTCGCCCCAGGTTATGCCGCTAACCAGTAAAGCCCCACAGCGGCCAGCAATCGCCATACGTGTGGACTTCTCAGGTAACCTGCCACGACTGCCGCATAGCATCACCCAAGGCCTTTCGCGCCCGCCCCGTCGCGTGGTCAAGTACCCAGCCCCCGCCTTGGGTTGCCCTAGTCCTAATAAGCCTCTCCCTAAGTCAGGTTCTGCACCGCCTCTTCCCCGTGGGGGCCGCCCCCCGCCGCCGGCCCGAGCCATGCCACGCAGCCTTAACTTTCATAAAACCCAGCCGGATGCCCCGGCGCA